GGACGATACGAATTGTGATCTGACGCGGGTTTTCCAGGCTTTTTAATGGCTATAACTCTCACCCGCCTCCAATCATCCGGAACAATATTAAGCTCCAGGAAGTTCAACATGCGCCTCTTAGCGACGTCTGGGAGGTTCTTCAACAAGTTGAACTTGATTCTATCAGCCCCCGGAGCCGAATTGCCACACGAAAGGAGCGCGAGTGAGAGCTCCAGCATTGAAAAAGGCTGGCTGATCTCGTCTACCGAATTCGTCGTTTCGCGAGGAATCATCTGTGCCGGCACAGAATCAGGACATACTTTTCGCGCGAACTTGAGGATCCAACTATCGGAGTACTCCTCGCTCTCGTTGTTTGAAGACCGGTTACGCATCCTTCGCGCCGCATTCCAAAGCGTATTCATCGACGTTTCGCGCGATAATCCGTCCACGAATTGCCGCCAGTATCCGCGTTTCTTGGCTTTGATGAGGCTCTTGAGTTCGCGTTCAACAGCCGAGTACGCTTCGAAATGTACGGGTGTTCCACGTTTCCGGAAAAGCTTAAACGCGTCGGACTTTTTACGATAAACCTCAGTGCATTGCTGGTCCCACCAAGGGAAGGGGAAGGAGGTTTCCTACGGAAAGACGTTCCTGGAACCGGCCGAGTTTGAGCTTGAAGCGCGCTGTCCAAGATCAGATTGGAGAGGAAGTTATATTCCTCCAACGGTGGAAGCCCTTCTACCGACGTTAGGGCATCTTCTATCACATTCTTGAACTTTGTCCAATCGATATTACGGGTAAGATCGTATGCGACGTTAACGGGTTCCGACGGATTGAACCCACTGGCAACTGAAACTTTGATCGGCAAGTGATCACTACCGTGGGGATCTTGGATCACATTCCACGTGCAATCCAACGATAATGAGTTAGAGCAAAGTGTGAGGTCTAATCTACTTCCATTCGAGGATGGGCCAGCCAAACGTGTTACTTCTCCATTGTTAAGAATTGTCATATTAAAGCTGTCGCAGAGGTCATATATCAAAGTAGAACGGTTGTCATCATACAGTTCCCCCCAGCCTGTACCGTGGGAATTCAAATCTCCCATAAACAACCGTGGAGCAGGAAGTACCGAACAGATATCTGAAAGTTGTTTGCGATTAACAACGGCTCTAGGAGGAATATAAACAGAAGCAATACAAATGCTCTTACCTTTAATAATAGCCTGACATGCAACAACTTCAATACCTGAAAATTGTGGAAGATTCACTCTATAGAAGGAATGGCACTTTTTGATCCCCAAAAGTACCCCTCCTCCACGCGAATCCTCACGATCCAGTCGAATAATGTTAAAATCATAAAAAGGAAGATCGATATCTGAAGAGAGCCAAGTTTCACAAACAGCAAATGCATCACAATCATTATTGTGAACTAAAAACTTAAAAGAATCTAATTTAGGAATGAGACTTCAACAATTCCACTGTAGAACAGTGATCAAATCCCCGACCTCGTTTGGAAAATTATCCATCGAAGGAAATGATTGCTGCAATGAGGGGCCACTTCAATGTCAATTGCTTCAAGAGGGTCTTCACAGAAGGAAGCATTGCCAGAACAATGCTTTTGAGAGGATCAGAAATATTGAGGTACTTGAGAATATCGTCCACAATTTTATCAAATGAGAACAACCCGGATGAAGAAGGGGCTTCTGTTCTTAAAAATGGGCCATCAGGGGTTTTTGATGTCCCCGGGAGAGATGGAAAGTTCTGGTTATAGTCAGTTCTGCGGAAACCAGGAGGAGTTGAAACTTCCTTTTTTCCATCACTCCTTGATTTGGGCAAGCTGATTTGGGGTTCCTTATCTGCAACTTTCCGCGAACGGATGCGTTTTCGTTTCCGTGCAGAACCTTCCGGAAAACTGAAAGAAACTCCCTCCTCAGCCAAGTCAGAGTCAGACTCGTCATCAGACAAAACAGCAAAGGGATTTTTGTCGTTGGTTGATGGTGTGGCTGTTTTTAGCATTGCTGCAAAAGACTGCCTGGAACGCTCCTTAAGAGAGCGTTCTAGTTTCTCCCCGCGTTGTTTGTACGCCGGGCACGATGAGAGACCATGAGGAGTTCCCTTACAGTACACGCATTTTGGTGCAGTGACTGTGCAGGCGCCATCCTCGTGCTTCTCCCCGCATTTGGAACAGCGTGCCTTGCTGCCACAGTGAGAGGCCGTATGTCCCAACTGTTTGCAATTTTGGCAGTTCATGACCCGAGGAACAAACAAACGCACAGGTAGCCGAAGTTTTCCCAACTCGATGTAGTGAGGAAGGGCTGAACCAGAAAAGGTCACCCGAAACGAGTCTGTGGGGGTAAAGCTCTTTTTACCCTCGCTGAAAGATACTGAGTTCAGCTTCTGGACTTCCAGTATCTCAACCATGGGAAGCAAGGGGTTCTTGAAACGGCCAACCGCTTGCTTCGCCAAGATCTCGGGGGTCAGACTCGCTTCGGTGACCACACCTTCGATCTCCACATTACGAGCTGGGATGTACACTCTATACTCGAGTGTAAAGAGCTGGGAGGCAGCAATCTCGTTAGCTTGTTTCAGGTTAGAGACGACAACGCGAAGTTTATTGTACCTCACCTTCGAGATTTCGGTCACGGCCGAGAACCGCTTCGTCAGATCATTAGTAATTTGCATTATATTCAAAGGTTTCTTTTTGGGCTGAAAGTAAACAATCCATGGGCCAGTCGAGTCTTCTGGGTAGGCTCGCGATCGGGGGCTTATCTGTCCCTGTCCATTACCAGACTGAGATGACGAAGCAGGGATGGCATCATCTGATTTCTGGGATGACAGACGTTTTCGACCCTTCTTGCTATCGCGTGGCAAAGTGGTGTCATCTTCCGACAAAACGTCCATTTCGTCTTCTGACAAAATGTCCATTTTGTCGTACTAGTGGGAGCGAAAAACGCTCTACCACTGCAACGATAATCAAAATTACTCGGACACAATACACGAGAAAAAAAAATACAAACACAGAAACACAAACTTAAAATTTAACTGATGGGAGAAAGGAAGAAACAAGAACAAAAACTTATCTGATAATCCTATACTACTACCACCGAGCGTTTACACAGCAGCAGCGGAGCGATGCGCAGCTTTGATGATCTTCGATCCGCGTGTGCGGGCGGTCTTCGTTGGTGTGTGCTTGTATGAAGCTCGGCACTCAGCTGAACACACGAGATGGATGAGCGGTTTGAATGTGGAGGCAGATGCTGACACTCGATGACGATGATCCGTGTGCACAGGTATGCGTGACCACGCACCGATGGTGCGTAAAATGGTTGGCGAATTGGCAATCGCAAAAACAATTTTCCTTCCGATGATGCCGAAAACACACTTTCTTCTCAGAAAAAAAAACTCACTTTTTGATAAATTTATCGGGAATTATGCCAGGAATCACTAAGCGAGAAAAAAACTGATTATTTACGTCAAATAATAGCGAGAAAACTTCCAAATTAACGGAGCGCGAAACAAGTCGACCGTACTTCTTGCTAGGACGCGGTGGTGACCTTGTGTCTTGTTGTTTTGAATTGATTTGACAGTTCATTTGAATACACGGTCAATAAGGTCAACCCAAATTTTCGTTCAGTTTACTCATTAATCGCACAAAGTGATAACTCGAGTCGCAACATTCCGTATGGCGGCGCTAGTGTTTCTAACGTATTTTAATTTGAATTCTTACACATAATTTTTCGAAAAATTTGTTTAACTGTTTGGATGTCTGTTCTCTGTGGTAGTAGTAACACTTCCTTCAGCAAAAAGCAAATAGATCCGCACGGCAAGAGAGAACTATGCGGACTGATTTGCATATATTTAATAAAAACTCTCCTTAGTATCTGCAGTCCAAAATTGAAAACAATCCTTAGAAAATTTCCTGAGTCTATTTATAAATCTTTTTGAATACTCGTCAAAATTCTGTTGGAGTTATTCTTAAAATTCACAAGCTATTCGCTTCATGATCCCCATACACGAAGTGGTTCCCTATGAGGTTCTTTTCATAACATTTATGGAATTAAGATATAATTACCAAGGAATTCATAAGAATTACCAAGGAATTCATTTCAGAACTTCCTTTCTTCTTCCCTGAAATTCTTTGGAATTCAACTCAGTCAACTTGTTTTCCGACGATCTAGTTTTCCGTACTGAGTACCAATGCTACCGAAGGCAGCTCCCACACCTGGACATTACCTATGTGACATGTGACATAGGCTATGTCCTCAGATATGTTATGCCTTAGAAAATCCTGATGGCACCAACTGACCCTTTAGACATTCTCTGAATTATCTTGGAATCCTGGTCAGATTTCTTTTAGGATGTTTACCAGAATTTCGTTATTATTCACCTCAGCATTTCTCTTGAATTAACACTGTTATTCCATTTTAATTCTTTTTTAAAATCCATAAGTACAATCAATTCTCCACAACTTGATGTCCACTAGCTCGATACCGAGTTATAGAACCATAGAAAAAAATTATTTCATGGTTACTGTGATAGCGATTTTGTATGGGATTGTTATTCTATAACTCGATAACTCTATAACTCGATGGTCCCTTGAATATCGAGTTGTAGAGAGTTCACGGTAGATTCTTTTCAATAAAGTAGCCAAGTGCGGACCCACTGTACGACGGATTTCAATTAGCCGTTGTATCTGTCTCTCTCAATGAAGCGCACACGTGTTTTGCTATCCATGCTTTCTGTCAGATTAAATTAAATTCAATTGGTAACAGGACGCCAAACAGTTTAAGCAGGCGCTTGGACAAATATGAACCATCATACGTTTGTCATGCCGTGCACATACGACGGCGCGTTGGAATAAATTGGCGTGGCGCAAAGTGGAATTGAGATACGAGCGTTAAATCGTCATTACCTACCGTAACTGTAGTATCATAGTGATGATTTATTACTTGATGCATGTGATTTGTCAAGGCATTTCGTTTTAAGTGCGTGCTTAGAACAAAATATTTATTACAGTAAATGAACATAATAAGTTGAAACAATATATATCCACGTCACATAATTTAATATCGGTATATATTCAAAATGAGCCTAGAGACATGTTAACATTAAATTTTAAAGTGGTTTGAACTTAGAATATGGTTTTTTACTCGACAAACTGGCGATCAGTGTCTCACAGATTCCGTATTTAAATAACTAATTTTAAAGTAATATAAACTGGTGGTAACACCTACTGGCTGCAGATTCGTTAACAATTAAGGTTGCATCAACCGTAAAAATTTGCTCTTGGTATTCGTTATACACGATTAATTTGTTCGAAACAAACATTGATAAGGACACTTTTTGTACTTCTGGTCGCACCGCATCGCCCAAGCTCTATCTCCACATCCTCGTCTACCCACTGGCCGCCAATTCATCGTACTTCTGTTTGGCAATTTGTATGAGTCTCTCCGATTCCGACGGTCCGGTGGCAAGAACCATTTCCTTAAAGACACCCACCGGCATCTGCAGCAGATCGTGTGGGGTGCCGAATTCGACCGATTCGCCTGCATCCATGACCAAGACCCGATCCGAATCCATAATGGTGTTCAGTCGATGGGCGATGGTCAAGACGGTGCAGTCGGCAAACTTTATACGGATCGTCTCCTGAATCAGACGGTCGGTGCTAGAATTAAGAATAGTTGAAAGTTAATATCATGTTCATTACGCGAACGTCTGTTTTGCTGATGAATACGTACTTTGGATCCACGTTCGCTGTGGCCTCGTCCAGTACGAGTACGCGATTACTTCTCAGGATGGCACGGGCCAGACAGATCAGTTGTCGTTGCCCGACGCTGAAATTCGAGCCTCCGGCGGCAACCGCCATCTGCAGACCCAATGGACCGTTAGCAATTTCTTTCAACTCGACTTGCCCAAGTGCATTCCAGAGTTCCGAATCTGGGTAATCTTCAAATGGATCGAGATTTTTCCGTAACGTTCCGGAAAATAGAACCGGATCTTGAGGAATGATAGAAACCTTGGATCTCAAATTTTCCAATGAGATCTCCCCAGTATTCACTCCATCGATAAGAATATCTCCCTCGATCTGCGCCAATCGGAACAGAGCTCCTATTAGAGAGGATTTTCCAGCTCCGGTACGTCCCACGATTCCAATCTTTTCCATGGGGTTTATCTCAAAGTCCAAATTCTTCAGAACCAGGTTTCCACCCTCGTAGTATCGATAGTTGACATTTTTTAACCGGATACGCCCAGCTTCCGGCCAACCTTTGTTCAAAATCCTCGGTGGGTCCGGTTGCTTTTCAGGTTTCAGATCCCGATACTCCAGTAGACGTTCGACAGACATCATAAAGTTGGCGACTTCCGCGCTCTGTCGAATACCCCACTGCATCATTCCGGTTAAGGCCATCGCTTGAGTGATGGCCAATCCTACCCTGTCGCCCAGAATGTTGGTATCGAACAGAAGAAAACTAAATACAACGACCATAAGAAAAATTAGACACAGAAGGTCCAACGCAAAGCCAAACGCTGTGCTGCTGGTGAGAAACATGTAGAAGGCAGCCGTGTGAATGTCCTGATGGGAGTCGAATTCCTTGATCAATTCACCCTGTGCGCCGAAGGCACGAATTGTAGGAAGCCCGGCTAGCGATGCAGCTAGATGCGAGAAGACCGGAGAGCGTGCTGCAATTAACAAATCGTAATTTAGTGTGTGACTATGTGTGTGTGTTGCGACGATCGAAATATACTCACTGATTCCCTCGAGACGCTTGATGTTCTTCGAAGTCTTCAGATAGATCTTCCTCAGGTAAACAAATATGACTCCCAGAAACGCCAGCGGGATCAGAAACATCGGATTAACAATCACCGTTACGATAATCGTACCGATCATGTTGAGAATGATTTGCGACGCATCGAGGATCGCCTTCGGCAGGAGTTCATCGACCGATCCCATGTCCTTGGAAAACCGATTCAGAATGCGCCCGGATGGGTTCGTATCGTAGAAACGCATCGATGTCGAGACGCACCCCTTGAACATGGCGTCGTGGAGATTCTGCGAAGCACGGACCGACGTTCGGTAGAAGCTGATCGATCTGTGGATATGGGATCAAGATTAGATAACGGGCTTCTAGTACCGTTGGTAAATGTTAAACCCTTCTGGGTTATTCATTTAGAGGAAGGGGGTATTGGAGTAGGTTTTTTAATGACACTCTAAAGACTTACGGGAAAGCTGCCATTTTCTTAAGAGTCATTTCAAACGTTAAGAGATGCTATTTGTGGTCTTACAATAATCTTTCCTCAGAAAAAAAGTCGGCTTCATATTTCCACAGATTTCAAAATTAGTTTTAAGTGTCTTACAGCAAACACTGTAAGACACTTAAAACTAATTTTGAAATCTGTGGATCTGTATCATTCTTAAGATGCTCTCTCGGTACTGAATATAAGTTTTTCAAAGGTGATTGTAATAATATTCAATAGCAGGTTCAGGGGATGTCAGATCATGGCTGGCATGATTTGGTTTGAGGATATATAGTCGATTACACGTCCGATGAATATAGGAGACAAATCTGTAGCCTGATATAGTGAAAGAATATGTTTCACTACGTTTCACATGCAAATCCGGGTCACTTCAATGTCAAGTTATGAAGATTTTGAGAGCAGGCCTGATGAACCCCCGGAAGTGTTTAGTAATCGTTAGACTTTAAAGGGTCTTCTGCAGTGAATTTGGAGTTCGGAAGGTGCAGTTTTGCGCCGGTCTAAGAAACTTCGACGGCAGGTTCAGGATAAATGTTCTTTTAAGTTGCGATCAAGAGCCAACGTGAAAGATTTTCATCCTGGATGACTGCTTGCTTCCGACTTGATCTGGGCTCAGAACACATTTTTGCAGACTTGCTTAATTTATTTCTTGAGGTTCTACCACTGCCTTTGTTGCGATATCCTGCTGAATTTTAGCCCTCGCTTGCGTGTGGGAGGATCCATCTCTACTTACGTTCCCTAATTTCTGTCCATATCGGCCGCTGATGACATCGACGATGCTTTTGACGGTAGATATTGTTAAACACCGCTTTAGGTTCACGAGACTAAGCAAAGTACCAGAACTATTATAGTGAGTCCATAGGACTCGACAAGTATGTTGAGTACCAAGGGCATTTTTTCAGGGTACTCTACATTTGGCTCCGAAACGCTGGTCTTATAGTTCTTTCTGCGCACGAGATGTAGACGATGGGAGGAACGGGTATATGAAAAAAGCGTATGATAAATCATCCTGGAATGTAGAAAGCTACTAAAGCTGGAAGAGAACGATGGACGGTTAGAGTATCGGCCAATAATCCCAGGGGTTGTTCAAAAACGACGGGGAAGGGGGTACTGGCGAGTGACTTTGGGCCATACAAATGTCCAAAACATTTAGTGGCGATTGTATCAGGGCGGTAGCCTTTTTGGTGACTTGGTTACTTTTTTCAAGCTAATCACTAAAAGTCTCCTTTTTAACGCCAAGCCTTAGTGTCTCACGTTTTCTTGCAATCAGTCAATATTTGCTACTTTTTTAGCCTGAATTTACTGAAGTAAACAATGAATTTCATTGAAGTTCAGTTGACTTCTGGTAGGGGCGATGGGAGTAAGTCTATAGAAATTTAGACGAAAGTTTCTAAGATTTTAAGGTGAATAAGTATAGCGGTTTTTAAAGGCTACTCCATAGAACTTTGTTGACAAATTTGAAAGTTTTTAATAGAAATTCAACAGGACTTTGAGATTTATTTAAACTTGAGCCCAACATTCTCTGGCTTGAATTTTAAATGTCACGAAGTCCTCAAGATCCTTCCATGCCTCCTGTAGACTTCCATTTGAATTCTCTCAGATTAGAGTTCATTAGACGATATTTTGTATAACAAATGTCCTCTAAATTGCCTCTTGAAGTCTAGGTCTTTAAAGGGTTCTTTCATTAATTCCTCTAGTAGCTTAGAAATTAGCTCTTGATAATTCAAAACTTATGGCCAGAAGGAAGAAATTACGAGACATCCCCGGATAAATGATACTGTCCCGTTAAAAACGGCACGTATGGTTAACCTAATTCCGAAGAACTTACCGTGAGATTGCTATGAAGAAGATACCGATCACTAGAGCTCCGTGCACTGCCATGCAGAGTTCGGTACTTAGTAGCGATGTATTCTGGGAATCCACCTCCGGTAGTGGATCTTCCAGGATGAAAGACGTATTGGTTCGCTCGATAGCAACTCCATCGGTGTGATTGTGCCGTATAAAGATACGCTGCTCTTCTTGGGATGTCCTGCAAAAAAAAACATGTTACGAACGAACCCTACAAAAGCACCAATCGACATACCAAAAAGCAACCCAAAAATCAGCACCGCTGGCAGCCAACTGCGTTGCTAGAAACAGCACAAACAAGAAAAGTAGTATCACAGGATTTGCGCCACTGCGAACGTAATTGAGCAGGACCGATCCCTGAACGGTTCCCTTGGAGCTCAGCTCCATGTTCTGGTCGGCTTCCGGAGATTTCGATTTTTCCTTTTCACCCTTCTCCTGCTCGTCCTCGGCGAAGTCATCCAACGACTGGTGCGACGAGGCAATGGACCTCGATGATGTACGTGAATCTCGACGACTTCGCTTATCTGACGTCATGATCGAGCTTTCCCCGTCACCGGCTTCCTCCTCCAGTTTCTGCAGCAGTTCGACAAAATCAATTCCATTTTGAGAGAGATCATATGGTGTTCCCTGTATTGTTATTTTACCCTAGAAATTATAAAAAAAAATACTTAAATTTCAATAATAACCTGGATGCAGGAAGTACTCACCTCGTTCATCACAACGACCCAATCGGCTTCCTTTAGAAAATGAACCTGATGGGTCACCAATATCCTCGTCGCTTTCAGCTTACCCAGACGTCCCCGAGGACCTATGCAGGTATCGAACAAATGCCGTCCAACATGGGAATCTACCGCGCTCAGAGGGTCGTCCATTAGAAAGATATCAGCCCGACGATACACCGCTCGAGCTAAACTGATCCTAGCTTTCTGTCCTCCGGACAATGCTGCTCCTCGTTCTCCTATGATTGTCTTATCGCCATTAGGTAGCTGTTCAAAATCCCTCAATAACGCACAAGCCGTCACAACAGCATCGTATCGGTCCTTTTCCATGGGTTGTCCGAACAGAATATTTTGCCGCACCGTTCCGGCAAACACCCAAGGTTCCTGGCTCACGTAGGCAAACTTACCTTTGCTAACAATCGCTCCGGATTCCAGGGGAAGCTCTTTCAGCATGGCTTGCAACAGTGATGACTTACCCGCGCCTACTGGACCTATGATTCCTATCAAAATGCCTTTACGGAAATCTACGTTGATATTCGACAACGTAGCAGTCTTCCAAGATTCATCCTCCTCTTCCATCTGTTTGACCGTTTCAACGATCTTTGGCACTGGTACAGACCCATTTTTGGCATCGGATTTAGCCGTTGGATCCACCTGACGTTTCACTGCTCCCCACCGAGCGGTAACGTTCTTCAAGGAAACCGCCACGTTCGGAGGTAGCTGCGTATCCGATTCGATTAACTTCTGTTTCTCCGAAATATCCCCATTAGTTTCAAACTCGTTAAGGAATTTCTCCTTGGCTCCGGAGATTTCTCCTTCCTTTTCGGCATATTCTAGGAACCGTTGCAAGCGCTTCATAGCGACCAGCGCCTCAGCAATCTCCGCAATACCTCGCACGAACATAGCAGACATCGTGTTTGCCAGGATAGCGAAATACGTCGATACCACAAACACCTTAGCAGCCGTCAGATCATTCCCCAGTAAAACCATAGCCATCATCGTACAGAACAACGCCATCCTGGTTGTAAACAACAAAAACGTCATGTACAGTCCCCGCACGTACGCACTCTTCTTCACAATTTTCAGCTCCAGTCTCCTAGCTAGCTTAATCAATTTCGAAAAAGGCTTCTCCCAAGCATACATCTTAATGACCTGAATCCCCGAGATGATTTCATCCATCAGCCGAATTCTCTCGTCCGTCCTCAGTGCCGTCTGCAGGCGAAAACGGGAAGTTAACTTGCCCGTATACGCCTGAATCGGTGTCACGATGAAGATCACAATCATCCCAATCAACCCAGCCACTCCGATCTCGATGTACAGCAACACCCCGACAATGATGCTCAACAGCGGAGCGGACCACATCGAATGCAGGAAAACCGACACGATATCAAACCGATTGACATCGTTCGATAGGAGATTGACCACCTTACCGGGTGCCGTATCACCTAAGGCCGTCCGGGACAATCGCAGTGCCTTCCGGTATATCACACTGCACACGGCGATTCGCACCTTCATTCCATTCTGGAAGCTACCCAGTATGTACTGATTGATGGTGATAACGCTCAGTGCATTCAACAGCACGATAGCGCCGGCATAGTAGAATGCATTCTCACGTGTAACGTCGGTGTCTTTCCTGTGGAATGCGATAGAGGTGTTTTTGAATAGGCACACACTGAATGGCGGAAAACAAAAAGACCAACCTGAAATATTGCAGCAGCCAGCCGAGGAAGATGGGCTGAGCCAATCGGATGAAGATGTCGTTGACGACGACGATGAAACCGAGCACGCTGTACTCCCACCAGAATGTTTTGAAGATAGCCTTGATGAGCGATGGCCGTCCCGGGCCGGACTGCTGTGCGAACCATTTTCTGGAAGGAAAATAAACCGAAAATAAAATAATAAAACAAGTGTATCTTTTAAAGGCTGGTCAAATTCATTCATACCAATGAAAAAGTACGATTAATTCATTGCAATAAAAACTAATCATTGTAAACATCATCAACAAAGAAAACTTAAGCATCGACCGTTTGACTTGATATTCATCAGTTTCTTACTTGATAACCATTTTAAAACTTATTCCGAACTTTACACAATATTGACTCAACTAAGCAATTGAAAACAAATTATGAGAAAGTCACGAACGAGTTCTCATTTTTGCTCTGGAAAAAAAAGGCGCCAATTTACGAGCGGTGTTGAGAGGATGTAAAGAAAGACAATAAAATTAATATTTTTCAAGCAAAATAACTCGAAAATTGAAAGTGAACGACTCCGCACCACTCAGGTTTGACTGAGTAACATGGATAGCTGCATAAATAATTAGCCAAATGCACCCCAATATCGGGGTCCTAAAAAAATGTTAAGTTTTTAGAAACGTGTATAAATTTCTGAAATTGTTGCATTACCATCTTATCTTTGACATTTTTAAACAGAAAAGATCACTAAATTTACCAAAGCGAATGTAAATCTATGGGCTTTGGGCAACCAAAGATGGATAAACCAGTAATCCACCAGAAGCACGATTATTTTGGATAAATTAGTGGAACAATTTTTGTTTCGTTTTGCAGGAAAAATATGCTCTCAGTTTTTCATCAAAACATAAAAAAATCACTAAACTTCAAAACATGAATTTTGTCGTAGCCTGATATTTTAGGCTTAAATTTGAACCAATAATGTTTACTTCTGAGTTATAGTTTCAGCTGGTCGAATTAGTTTGGTAGAAAATCGTGGAAAATTTAGCAAGAAAATAAAAAAGATTTCTTGATAAGCCATATTGATATTCAGGCTTTTTGAAACAAAGTATGCAACTAAATAAAAAAAAAAGCTAAAACTATAATTTGGGCACTAGAGGGATTAATCGGTGATCTATAAAACAATTACAAAAGTCCAATAGAATCGTCATGGTCATTTGAGAACTCTGATAATTTTACTAACGATTTATTCATTTTTAATTAGCAAAACTCGTTTTTTTAAACTATAAGGGTCACCGTGACCGGAGTAATTTGTGGTTGAAACATGAAGTATCCATCGGAAGATCCGGAACTACCGTAAAAGTGGTCATTTCATGCAACTGATCCTAGAGCTTCATAGTTTTTTTTTCGAAAACGTTTTGTAATGTGTTGTTTAATTTGTTGTTTTGTCCACAGTATAGACTCTGGGGAATATCCTAAACAACCGTAAATGTTGTAAATTGTCCGGAAGATCTGGAACAACCGTTAATGTGGTGAATTTATGATACTGGGCCTAGAGCTTCGTGATTTTTTTCAAAGATCTTGTTGCTGTTCTGTCAGAATAAACCCAGAGTATTGTTAGAAATATGGACCCTGGGTGACCCAGAGTGGTGCTCTGCATGACCCGGAATAGACCAACAAATTGTCTGTCCATGAAACTGATCTGTGAGTTCCTCAATTTTTTTGGAAGCACTTGTTTTTTTCTTTCTTGATTTGTTTTTCGTCGATCTTGTTTTCCGTACTGAGTACCAATACTACCAACGCCAGGGAGGCAGCTCCCACAACTGAACCCTACCTATCGACCCATCAGCTCATAAACTGGGGACCAACGGCTTTACTTCCCTAATTAGAGATTTTATGCCTCAAAAAATCCCGGCAGCGCCGATTGGGTTTGAACACAGGCCCTTTGGAATGAGAGGCAGTCATGAAAGCACTTGTTGATATGATTTCTGTGTGAATTTGCAGTAGTAACCGAAGTATGAACCCTGGAGGCCATGAAGTGATCCACCGGAAGATCGAAAGCAGCAATTTACAAAAACAAGAGTTTTGCGTTTTTGTTTTTCTAAACCATCTAAGAACGTCTTGTACTGCGTTGTAACTGGAATAAAAACATTGAAGATCAAAAGATGATCCAAAAGATGAAGAAATGATGATGACGATCAAAAGAAGATCAAGGCCATGAACCATTTTGGGGAAAAGAATCCATGGTCATCGTACAGTTATTAAGGTTGTTTGTTTGGGATCTTCTGGAGGATTATCCCGTGCCACCAGGGTCCATATTCTGATCACAACTCCGAACCAATGCTGATAACATATTAACGAGTGCATTCGAAAAAATCATGGAGATCTTTAATCAATCAGTTTTATTAATTGACCACTTTAACGAGTCTTCCAAGGTCTATAGTCTGGTCGCAAAACCGAAATAATTGTGACAGCTCATTAACAACTATTTTCAAGAGCGGACAAGTGGTCAATACATCAAACTGGTTCTATCATTTTCTTTACTTTATTGTCTTCTTTATTTCCATTTCGTCATGCCAGTGTAGACTACATACAATGATTATTACAATGTTTACTTACATACTATGCATTAATTCTATTCTTTTATTTATTTATTTATTTATTTAATTATTAATTTATTTTATTTATTTATTTGTCGTCAATCAGTGTAGACCGTTTTACAATTGTTGTCTTAAGTGCTATTTTTACAATTTTGTCTTTGTTTATATTTTTTATAATATGTCTTAAGAAAAAGTTAAAACATTACTTCTAGTTGACGTTATGCGACGAATTAAAATATTGCTTTAATTTAGTTTTTGTCATTGTAAAGTCAATGTTATCGCAGTGCTTATTATATGTATCCATCATTTGGTTCAAGGGTCCAAATTTGGCATAATTCGTACGATGACGATTTGTAGCAAATATATTTCTGTTTCGTAAATGCCTAGATGGTGTATATAAATTTAAGGATGACAATAGTTCTATTGAATCAATTCGATGTGATACGATATCGTTTACGAAAGAAATCATAGCAAATTCACGACGTTCTTTTAATGTTTGGATATTTATGAGCATACACCGAGCTGTGTAAGATGGCAGAGGAAATACAGTCCAACCTAACTTGCGGAGTGCATACAATAGAAACTGCTTTTGAACGGACTCTATTCTTTCTTCGTGTGTGATTGAAAAAGGTGACCAAACTATGCTGCAATATTCTAATATCGATCTTACATAAGCAATGTACAATGTTTTTATCGTATACGGATCGTGAAAGTTATAGCAGAAACGTTTTATGAAACCAAGCATGTTGTTAGCTCTGTTAATAATTGTGTTATAATGATCGGTGAAAGTAAGTTTTGAGTCCAAAATAACACCTAGATCCCTGACTCTATCACATTTTTCTACGATCTGGTTTCCTAAAGTGACTGTTATATCGGGTAGCTTTTGTTTTCTACTAATAGTAATGGAGTTACATTTTTTTATATTTAATTGTAGCAGGCTTTTTTGACACCAAGTATGGAATATTTGAATTTCCTCTTTGAATGTGATGATGTCTTTGGCATCTTTTATTTCCAAAAAAAGTTTAATGTCGTCAGCATATATTAAAACTTTCAATTTCTTAATAATGCAAGATATGTCATTGACGAAGAGAATAAATAAAAGTGGTCCTAAATGGGAGCCTTGAGGAACTCCTGAAGTGACATCAACGGGATTTGATATCTTTCCTTTGTATTTTACTATTTGATGACGGTCAGTTAAATATGATTCAAGCCACTTGAGGAGTGCGTAATGAATTCCCATTTTTTGAAGTTTAAAAAGAAGCATGGGTATGTCAATTCGATCAAACGCTTTGCTGAAATCTGTATACAACACTTCTACATGGTTTCCGTTATCCATTGCATTCAAGGAATAATTAATTAATTCGAGCAAATTCGTAGTTGTTGAACGGCCTTTAAAGAAGCCATGTTGCATAGTAGTTATTCTGTTTTTAATTTGAAGAAAGAGTTTTTCATTTACAATCGCCTCGAAAAGTTTCGGAATGCAAGAGATAATAGCTATACCACGATAATTACGTATGTCGGATTTTTTACCCGATTTAAAGATAGACACTAAAAACGAGTTTTTCCATATCTTAGGGAAGTTTCCGGATTCCAGTGACATATTGAAAATCCAAAATAATGGAGCAGTAAGTTCAATTGCTAAAGTTTTCATAAAAACTGGCGGAACACGGTCAGGGCCAGGACATTTAGATGCATCTAAATTGTTTAAACCCTTTAAGATATCATGAACCTTGATTTGACTTACGCTGATGTCACTTGAAAATTCTGGATATGATTCAAAATATTCACGGTCACGGTCCTCTTCTGAAAACGTAGTATATATTTCTTGGAAGAAATTTGCAAACAAATTGCATATATCATCCGAGTTCTCACCTATCCTATCGTCCAAATGCATCTTTGAGGGAAAATTATCAGATTTTAATTTGGTTTTCACATAATTGAAGAAGTTTCTAGGACAAGATTTTATTTCAAGTTCAGTTTTTAAATTATACTCCTCAAATGCCATATTCACGGCCAAATTTAACTGATCGCAAATGTCTAAATAGTATGCCAAAGTTTCTTCACTATTATATTTTTTATAAAATTTGTGCGCTTTTTGCTTTCGATTTTTTAAATTTTTCAGTTCCCTGTTGTACCAAACTGGATGTTTTGAATGACTCTGACGTCTTCTTCTTTTAGTTGGCACTTCTTCAAGAATTATTTCAAGCAACACATTGTAGAATACGTCAACTGCACATTCAACATTTCCTGCAGTTCTTAATATTGCTTGCCAATCGACAATGTTCAATCTATTTCTAATGTTATCATAATTTGCTGAATTGTAATCAAAGATTTCATCAAATTCGCAGTCGTTGGTTCTTTCATTTATGTGAACGAATAGAGAATACTCTATTGCTGTGTGAAACATTTCATTTCTCCATATGGGACTTAACGATTCAGTCACACAGAAATCTTCATAAGTATTTATTAATAAAAGGTCTAAATAACAATTTTGTTGATTTTTCACATGGTTAATTTGATAGAGTCCTAAATTTGCAATTTTGTCAAAAATGAAATGGAGTGTTTCATTTTCCCCAACGA